GTTGGGTTGTTATTCAAGTTCTGAGACTATGAATTTCTTAACCCATGATTTCTTCAGCATTTCGCAGGGTGTGTCCCCCTCGCAGAGTGGGCTCCTGGGCCTCGAGGAGGGATGCAGCGCGGCAGGGGAAGGGGCCGTCGAGGGCCAGGGCAAGAGCGCTCCTCCCCCGGACCGGGGGAGGGAGGAGGGCGCCGAGGGCCGGAGCCTCTAAGTCTAGGAGGGGCCTGAGGCTGCCCAGCACTGGCCTCGGCCAGCAGGAGGGGCGGGCAGGTTCGAGGTTCTGGGCTCGAGAAGGGGTTTTGCGTGTCTCGGCCTCCGGGAGCCGTTTTCGGCCCCCGGGACCGCCAGAAACGGATCTGGAGCAAAAAAGTATGGACCCTGGGAGGCGTTCGGGACCCACTCAGAGCGGATTTGGCCTCGTCCCCCCACACTCGATCCATTTTCTGGGGCCTCATCCAGTTCAGACCCCCCGGCAGCCTCCAGGCCGGTGGGATCGTGAGCCGCCTTTCAGTTTCTTTGATTGTCCTTGGTCTTCAGAATCTTGCGCACGGTTTTGGCAAAGCTGGTCGTGGCCGCAGCCATCTGGGACGTTCTCTTTTTGTCGGAGGGCACCAACTATACACCAACACCGATCCTGGCACAGGATCACCCTGGGCCCAGGATCGGTGTATATGCCTTCTTGCGCAAGGCAGGAGGGCGTATACACCGATCCTGGGCCCGGGGTGATCCTGGCCAGGATCGGTGTTGGTGTATAGTTGGTGCCTTCCTATTTTGTCAGCGGCGATACACGCCAGTCGTATGAAGTTGTTTTTTTTGTTGATCCCCAGATCCGAATCTACCTTGAGCGCCTTCCGACTTCAAGGGTCGCGCGGTCTTCCCCCTTCCCTCCTCTTCAGGGGATGGGCGGAAGCCCAATCTACTTCCACCGCCTTCCTACTTCATGCTTCTGCCCACTTCTTCCGACCGACGGGTATTGGCTGATGGTTTCTGCTGCATCTGCCAATCCGGCCACATCCGCATCGCCGCCGATGCCTGCTGCCATCTGCCCTGCTGGGCCTGCGGCCCCTAGAGCAGACCACTGCTCCTTGTGACGAGAGGCGCCGAGGGGATCTCCCGTTGCAGACGTGAGAGCCGGACGGGGCTAGGACGAGGACGAATCTGTTCCAGAGCGTTACGACGACGTCGACGACGACGACGACGACGACGTCGACGGCGAGGACGACGACGACGACGACGACGACGACGATGACGACGACGACAACGATGGCGGCGGCGGCGGCGAGGGCGTCGCGGAGTAAAATCCGTTGCAGGGCGTTCCAGAACGCTCTGAAAAGGCCGCGGCGCCCGACATATCCTCCAGAGCCGCCGCTGCTTGATCCTCACCGATTTTTATCCTCGTCCTGGCTTCGTCTTGGAGAGAGCTCGGGGATGCCTCTCGGACGGCTCGGGCATGCCGGGGAGCCGTGGCGCTCGGGCGGGTATCCTCGTCCTGGCTTCGTCTTGGAGAGAGCTCGGGGATGCCTCTCGGACGGCTCGGGCCTGCCGGGGAGCCGGGGCCGCTCGGGCGGGCGGAGGCCGAGCTGTGCCACGGGAGGTGCGGGCGATCCGCTCTCCAGCCCGTCGGAGGTCGTGACCCTCGGTCAGTGCCCATGCCACGGCTCCCCTCAAAGGACGACGACGACGACGACGACGACGACGACGACGACGAAGACGACGACGAAGACGAAGACGACAACGACGACGGCGACGACGGCGGCGGCGGCCGCGGCGGCAATGACGGCTGTCCTGCCGCTGCACCTGCCTGGGGTTCGCTTGGATGGGCGTCCTGGGAGGCCTCTCGTCGTCACGGGGCTGGCTTCGCCGCGAAGGCCTGGTCGGAACGCGCCCCTGGGAGAGCTCTGGGAGCAGCGGTAGCGGTACCTTTTGGTCTCCCCAGTTCTCGGCCCTGGTGCCGCCCCGCCGAGCTGGAGGTCCATCGGCTCGAGGAGCGTCAGGGTGGCCGCAGCAGCGGCAGGTTGAGTTGTGAAAGTCGTCCTTCTGCGGGAGTGTAGGAGAAACGGATGGGCTGGAGATCTCGATGCCGCCGGGATGCATTACTGCCACCCGTTCGGATCATAAACGAGATTGCCTCCATTGAGCGATTCGGAACCTGGGAATCACCACGAGGAAAGATACGGCCTGGATGACCGGACTCAACCGTTCCAGCTTATAGGCAGACCGAAATCCTCGAGTGCGGGAATCCTGGCCTCCTGGGTCTTCATTGTAGCTTACATGGGGGGACCATCTCGCCGGGAACATATCGGTGACTTCAATATTCCAGACTGTTCCATAAGCACCCCCCCATGGCACTCTCCCTCACTCGATCCACCCCCTCGACGCCGAGCACCGCAAAGGCTCATCATACGCCCCCCAATTGAATTCCCCAAGTTTGTTGAGCAACTAGGGCTAGCGCTGCATCCTACTGCCAGTATCCCCTGCCCTGCCTCGGTTCGAGCCGGGGCTGTCTCCAAGCCAGGACGCCAGGTTGTTTAGCACACCGCGTACATGGTTTCACGCTCGCTCCTCTCTCGATAGGGTGTTGCTGCTCTCGCGCTCGTGAGCGATGGCACGGTCGCGATCGGTATGAGCCCTGCTGTATAGTTGAGTTCAGATGTTCGCACCACCCGGTTCTGTGTTGTTCCTCGGGTCCATTGGTTTTCTGTCTGTCACGGTTTACCGGTCACCTCGCAGCATACATTCTGGGCAACGGAAACGACAGCTTTTGTTGTACGTGGTGGTGTCCTCCTGGACCATGCGCGACGCTGCCAGCGTACCTTCACCAGGTTTGCGGCCACAGCGATACTGAACATATCTTGTCGCCGATGGATACGACAGCAATGCACATCTGCATCAGTTGCTGCGGTTCGTAGGTCAACATCGTTCAGCCATGTTTCGCGAATATGAAACTCGTAGAACTGAACCCTGATCTGGCAGGGAGCCAAACGTATACCATAACGATTTGGTTTTATTCGGCCACCAGTGGCATGCACGCTTTTTGGGGAGGTCATCCGCTCCCGCCACCCCCCCACGCGCTGGAGGATAACGCATAGAATCTAGGATTTCCGCGTGGTTGTCGCGCATCAGCGCCCGACCCCCTTCCGGAAAGAAGCAGAACACTACGCGACGATGGGGTGCAGTCGTTAATTTTGTTAGAGTTGCATCGGGCTTCGCTGTCCACGATGTATCCCCCACGGGTGTTCGATGCAAATATCGCTGTCGCCGTTTTGTTACATGAGGTGTCCTGGTGTCAGTGGCCGCCGTCGTCGCCGTTTTTTTGACATTTGGTGTCGGGGGTCATCGTCGTCGCAGTTTTTGCTCCAGACACCCATTGTTGGCTGTCCCCCACGTTTCCTTTCTGCATGAGCTTGCAAAGTGCGGCGCCTAGGAGCGCCTGCGCGCACTTTTGCAAATGCTTCCGAGTGCCAGGGGGGCGCGCCTGGGAGCGCTCCGAGGCGCCTGGAGCGTTTGGCGGGCGCCCGCAGGCGCCGGGGAACCCATGGTCAGAGGATGGGGGTTTGGGGGGGGGGCCGCCGTGGGCCACTCGTGGCCCGAGACGCCACGTGCGATTATTGCTGCGGCCGTGCGTGGACCCCTTTGGCAAGATTGGCCCTCTTGCGCCCGGGAGTTCGAAGCCGAATGCATGCGCGTTCGTTGGTCGTCTCTGCGTGCGTGCGCCTGGAAGTGCAGTTGCAGAGAGGTGTGTGTGCGCTCACATATCAGCGTGACAACCTAGTTTCCGGTCGTGTCAATTCTGATCGCACCAATTGTTCGTCCAGATTCTGATCGCACCAATTGTTTTTTGTGTGTGTGTGTCGTCGCGGTGTCATGACATTCCTTTAGTAGTGTTCGGCGGAATGTCGTCGCTGTTTCATGACACCCCTTCAGTGTTCGGCGGGATCGTCGTCGTTCTTGGAGTGACACTTCCTAGTATTGGCGTTGTGGTCGCAGTTTTGTAACAACCACCGCTTAGTTCTTACATACTTTGTCAGACTCGTCGTCAAAGAAAGTAGTCCGTTGTGCATGACATTTTGATGTAATGTGTCCGGGGTGGTGAACTGATTGCATTGCCATTTGTGGTGGGAATGCCAGCAAGCACCGCAAGGTGCAATGGGTGTCAAGCCGCCCCCTCGCGCGCGCACACACACACACACGCACACACACACACTCGCACACACTCGCACACACACGCACACACACACACACGCATACAAACACGCACACGCACAAGCAAGCACATCCACTTTTTGGTGGTCTTTGCGTCGCGCGCGACGTCGCGGCGTAGCAAATCAAGTACGGCTCAATCCAAACCTGGGCCACTCAGGCTTCGCAGGTTTCTGCAAGATCCTGCAAGATCTTGCAGGATCCTGCGCCATAGCCCAGGTCAATGCACCTTTGGCCCTGCAGGATCCTGCACGATCTGGCGTTCTGGCTGATCCCCGTTTGCATCGACCCCCTTTTCTTGAGCCCCGCCTCTGGGGGGGGCAGCACATTACCATCCGATGCCCTCGAGACCGAAAGGAAGAAAACACGAAACTCATTCAAACCCAGCCCCTGTGACCGCCACACGTCTCAGAGGCCCCCGAAAGGGCTCCGGCACGGACACCTGGAACCACCTTCGGGCGTTTTGGGGGTGTGTATTTCGAGCATCGTTCCCGAGTGGGAAACAGTTCAGCGAGAAGCCCCTGAAGCGCACGGCAGAGTTTCCAGGAGGCCCGTGAGGTGGGGGTGACCTTGAGGGCATTTCAATACGTGATGATGTCGCCAGTGAAATGAAGAAGGGGAGCAGGAGGAGGAGGAGGAGGAGGAGGTGGAGGAGGAGGAGGAGGGAGGAGGAGGAGGGGGGAGAGAAGGGGAGGAGGAGGGAGGAGGAGGAGGAGGAGGAGGAGGAGGAGGAAGAGGCGATTCCGAGAATGGAGGCGAGGGGGCGGCGGGGCATCGCTCCTGCAGCCTGAGACGCCCAGGCGTCTGCGGCAGCGCCTCTTCAAGTCCCTGCTGGTGCAGGCGCCCCGCGCCGCGCCGTGGGGACCAACTGCCTGGGATCGTCGTTGTCGTCGTCGTAGGACGAGGAGGAGGAGGAGGAGGAGGAGGAGGAGGAGGAGGAGGAGGAGGAGGAGGAGGAGGAGGAGGAGAAGTAAGAGGTCGTCGTCGTCGTCGTCGTCCTTCCTCCTCCTCCCTCCTCCTGTCCCTGGAGCTGCCTGCGTTCTCGTGGTCCTGGTGTGCAGTGATGTGTGCTGTGGCAGGGGCAGCGGGGACTCCATGAGCCGGTCTTGGTCTTGGTCTCCTATCCTTGAGGCGGGTAATCCAGTACAGCAAGGGTTCTTAGGAGATCAGAAAGCAGAATATGAGGCTTGTTCGTTCTTTCTTTCGTTCGTTCGTTCCTCCTTCCAATGCCCTTCAGACCCAGACCTGCTCGAGGTTCGAGGTGTCGTTCGAGGTGATGAGGTTCCTGCGCGATCTCGTACAGGTTTCCCAGCCTCGGGATACAGGCTGTTCCAGTCTCGGGATGCTTTCCGGCGGCCGTGCCTCGACAAAAGCGTTCTGGGGGTGCCTGAATCGTATCGCACGGCCGCTGGACGTCCCAGTTGTGACCCGGAAATCCTCGCGTCGCGGAAAAGTCACGACGCCAGTTTCTTGCCAAGCTTCGACCTCGGGGGGCCCTTACCAAAGCCCGGGGCCGTCACAGAAACTGCTCGGGATAAAGACCGGACCCAGGGAAATTGTTGTTAGGCTTCCGGGGCTTCAGGTATGGCGTGCAGGGTTTTGACATTTGTCCCTTGACTTGTCCTTTTTCCCCCACACTAGGCTGCCGGCGTCGGTTGACGCGACCGTCTTTGGACTTGGCGGCCTTCTGAACGTTGAAGGGTCCATACCCTTATCCTTACCCCATCGCGGTGACGCGATCTATTCTGCCCCCCCTGGTTGCATCCTCACCGCTTGAGGCCTTGTTTGGCTCACAACGAAGGCCCCATTGGATGTGGCGGAAGAGAGGTGTTTTTTTTGTCGCGCGGCACGTCGTTCCTTGAGTTTCTGAGTTTTGTTTGTGATGTCGACGCCTTGTCGTCAGACTTACATTTCTATTTCGTGCAGGTTGTCGTGGCTGCGTGACACGTCCTAGCAGTACTGTCAATTTCTTTAGTTTATCGTAGGGGGGGGCCCCAACCCGCAATTTAGTTGGTAGCAATAAGTTCATTGCCGCAGACTAGTGTTTAGCGACGATGCCGCCCCAACGTGCCATGCCCTTGATGCGGCATGCTGAAATTGGTGATCTTGATTCTGGCGTTGGCACCCTTGGTGAATAAGTAAGAGTGCCCTCGGCGCGCTATCTAGATTTGGCAATGGGTTCGCATGATCATCGCTCGCCAGCGAACGCCTACTTTTAGCATTATTTGGTTTGGCGGGAGCGTCATGAACAACTGCGCCACGGAACAAGCTGAGCGTAATAGAATAAGTAGGAGTAGTGAGTCAGCAGTGGGTGGACGACTGGTGTCCGAAGACTGCGTGTGCGGCAGGAGATCAGGAAGAGGACCATTCCTCTTGCTTCTTCGGTGGCTGCCGGCGTCCATGGAGAGGTGCCACCCAGAGAGAGGGAGGGGAGTGAGGGCAAAGGCATGGCGCGGGTAGGGGCTGCGTCGGAGATCGGGCACTCGAGGAGCGGTCGACCTCGGACCGATGGCCCACTGGCTGTGGGGGCCGATGGCCCCTCGATGCCCAGGGACCTTCTCGGTGGCGGCGCCACTTGTGAGCCCGTCACTCCGAGGACAGAATTCAGAAACATCCACCGCATCGGGAAGCGATTTCTCAGCGACCCCCCCAGCAGGCAGTGGAAATGTATATAATTGGCCCCCCCGCCCCCCCCAAGGGTCGCAGAATATAACTAGCAATAACTGATTCGCTGCCTCCTGGGGAGTCCTGGGTCGTCTGGTCCCGAGGCGGTGGATCTGCATGAATTCTGGTTTCGAGTGGTGCACATCCGAGCAGGAGTCGGAATAGTGGCCCCTGGCATCGCTCGGACGTGTGCATTTTTCCTTCGTCGAGGACCATCGAGGAGCATCCTTGATCATTTGGCGAAAAAACACGCACGAAACCGAAAAGACACAGGGAATGGACGTCCGAGCGATGGCAAGGACCATGATGAAAGCAATCTCGAAAGAAGGGGAGTCCTGATCTCTTGTATCGTTTTCGGCCCGTGTGAGTTCCAGGATCTTGACAAGCTATTCGGGATGAGCAGGTTGTCCAAGGGGAATCCCTGGGATGTGCTGGACCCATGTCCCGCATGACCGAGCGTCCGGGCTTTCTGCCTTCATGCCGAAAGAGAACAGATGAGCAGATCGAGCTCAGGGGAATGGGGGGGGGATTGCGTGGGAGTTTGATCCAAGAGGGGGGCAGATGTTTGCGCGGCAGCGGCAGGAGATCGGCTTCTTCGACACCACGAAGACCGGGGAGACGGCGGCGGTGCGCTAGCGCACGCCTCCCTCATACTCCTCTTGGTCCTGTTCCCCCCCTTTCTCCTGCAGGAGCAGGTCGCCCCAGGAAGCCTCCAGAGCAACATCGGCGTCACACCCGCGAGTCGAGAAATGTCATAGTACAAGCTTGGTGGCGGGCGCTTTCTTGGTTTTACCGCTCGGGAAACCATACACTACCATAGCACCCCACAGATGCGGATAAGAGTGGGGGGGGGGACGTCGGCAGTCTGCGAGACTTTGGAGAAGCCCGCCGCAGACGTCAACGTTTCACAAATTATACAACGAGCCCGCCGCAGGCGCTTATTTTTTAGTTAAACCAATGCGGGTAGGTCTCGGGTGGGTCGCAAATCTGTCGCGGGTGGGTCGCGGGTGGGTCGTTGTTGGGTCGCGGCTGGGTCGCGGCTGGGTCGCGGCTGGGTCGCGGCTGGGTCGCTGGGTGGGTCGCGGGTCGGTCGCAAGTGGGTCGCGGGTGTGTCGTGGGTGGGTCGCGGATTGGTCGCGGGGTGGGTCGCGGGTGGGTCGCGGGTGGGTCGCGGGCGGGTCGCGGGTGGGTCGCGGGTGGGTCGCGGGTTGGGTCGCGGGTTCTGTTGCGGGGTGGGTCGCGGGGTGGGTCGCGGGGTGGGTCGCGGGGTGGGTCGCGGGGTGGGTCGCGGGTGGGTCGCGGGTGGGACGACGACAACAAACAACAGCAACAGCAACACCAACAACAGCAACACACATTTTAAAATTGGTCGCCCTTATCTGCTCGAGTGTCAAATTCTTTACGCTTCGCGTATCCCCACCAGCCCATCTCACAGCAGCAACTCTCGCGAAGCATGCCGACAGTCGTGTTTTTCAGGCGTGTGTCCGCTTGGCCCCGCATATCTCCCCTGTTCCTCCTTCCTCCCGCCTCCTTGTACATCCTCCTTGTGGGGGGAGCGGGAGAAGGACGAGGCGGAGGAGGAGGGAGAGAAAGCGCTCCTCGTGGTTTGAGTCGTTTGGGGTTTCTCGTCCTGGTGTGAGTCGTTCGGGCCCTTCTTCCTGGTGTGAGTCGTTCGGGCTCTTCGTGGTGTGAGTCGTTCGGGCTCTTCGTCCTGGTGTGAGTCGTTCGGGCTTCTCGTGGTGTGAGTTGTTCGGGCCCCTCGTCCTGGTGTGAGTCGTTCGGGCCCCTCCTCCTGGTGTGAGTCGTTCGGGCTCCTCGTGGTGTGAGTCGTTCGGGGCTCGTGGTGTGAGTCGTTCGGGCTCCTCGTGGTGTGAGTCGTTCGGGCGCCTCGTCCTGGTGTGAGTCGTTCGGGCCCCTCCTTGTGGTGTGAGTCGTTCGGGCTCTTCGTGGTGTGAGTCGTTCGGGCCCCTCGTCCTGGTGTGAGTCGTTCGGGCTCCTCGTGGGGCCTCTTGGGGGCCTCTTGGAGCCTCTTGGGGCCTCTTGGGGGCCTCTTGGGGGCCTCTTGGGGGCCTCTTGGGGGCCTCGTGGGGCCTCTGGAGGCCTCTTGGGGGCCTCTTCTTGGGGGCCTCTTGGGGGCCTCTTGGGGGCCTCTTGGGGCCTCTTGGGGGCCTCTTCCGTAGCCATTTTGGCTCAAGATGGTGTGCTCGGGAGGCTTTCAGCCTCCGTGCATTCACGAGAGCTGCCGCTGCAGCAACCTCCAGTGCCCTTGTGGGCTCGTGTCGGCGCGTGGGGCGCACCGATGGCGGGCGGCGAAAACGACTGGGAGGTCAAGGGCGGCGGTCGGCGCAACAGGAAGCAGAAGCCGTCTCTGGTGTGGACAGTCGGAGGCAAAGGCGGTGGCTCGTCCTGGGTGGGGACGGGCCCGAGTGACACATGGACGTGTGGGGCTTGCGGTACAGGTGCGAACTGGAGTACGCGTACGTCCTGCCGTGCCTGTGGCGCGGGTCGTCCTGGGCACAAAGGCAAGGGCAAGGTCACTTCCACGCCTGAGGTGGGGCAGTGGTCCCGCACCTCCTTCCCACCAGTGGCGGCCAGGCCTTGGCGTGCGGCCGCGGAGGCCAAGGCGCCTACGGCTTTGCAGAAGCTGGAGGAGCGCAGGAAGGTCTTGGCCCAGTGCGCCAAAGACTGGGGGGGTGACGCGCCTCACCTCGACCAGGCGGTGGCCGACATCGACAGGCAGATCCAGGACGCCAAGGCGGAGCGCACGCAGGCGAAGCCTTTGTCTGGCCAGCTGCGTGAGGCGCAGGTCCAGCTGGGGCAGGTCGACAGGCAGCTTGAGCGCTTGGCAGAGACCGAGAGGAAAGCCAACCAGATGCTGCTCGAGGTCAAGAAGGAGAGGGATGAGGCTGCGAAGCGCAAGGAGGAGCTGGCGACCACGATCCTGGAGCTCCAGGGGAAGATTGCGGTGGCGGGCCCAGCGGCCCCAGCCTCAAACCTCGACGTCATCCGAGTGCAGTTGGAGTGCATCGCCAAGTCCGTCGGCAGCGACATCCAGTCCCTCGGCCTCAATTTTGCCACGCTCGAGTCCCTCCTGGAGGCCAAGGCTAAGGAAGGGGCAGCAAAGGCTGAGGCTGCTGATACTGGTGCTGCTAAGCAGCCTGGTCAGGCTGACGACGGGGACGGTACAGAGGACGAATCCATGGGAGACATCGTGGGGGCTGAGGAGTTGCCACCAGGTGTCACCGAGACCGAACGTAAGTGGATTAACGGGCAGGAGCCAGTGCCCGACCAGGAGGAGAACCCGCACTTGTTCAAGCGGTACCAAGAGGTGCTCATGTCGGTGCATTCCTGCCAGCTGGCCAAGAGACAGCGAAAAGGGTAGCTTGCCATGCGACCTCTTGTTCCTGGTGCTCAATGGGACCCACCTCGGCTACCCCGAGTCGCCGTGGAGAGGCGCGGTCCAGGTGCAGCTGCGCCAGAGCGGGAAGGCCCTCCCTTGGGACGACAGCCGCTGGAACCCTGAGGGGTGGGAGGCGGAGTTCGGGGGGAGCGAGAGTGAGGGGCACCGACGGGACGTAGAGCAGATGGATGATGAGCGTGGCGGGCGCGCAGCAGCGGGAGCCAGCCAGAGGGCGGGAAGTGTGGCCAGGTCCACGCCCGCGGGGCCAGTGCGCGGCCCACGGCCTGCGGCATTGGCGAGGAGTGAGCACGGTGCCTTGAGGGCGGGAAGTGTGGCCAGGTCCACGCCCGCGGGGCCGTCGCGCGGCTTCGTGCCTGCGGCGACGGCGAGGAGTCAGGGGGCAGATTCGGGCCAGTGGCGAGGATACGCGAGGGTCCTGCACGACAATCGCATGACGAGGCTTTTGGTTGACAAGGTGAATGACGACAAGCAGGTGGTCATTGTGTGGACCTTCAACGGCTCGGGATGGGGGACCATCAGAGAAAAGCTCTTGGAGAAGAAGGTGGGGTAGCAGAAGCACATCTACGCTTTCCAGGAGCACCGCCTGAAAGAGGACCAGTGGGCTGGAGTTACCCACAGTTTGCGTCAGAGAGGCTACCAAGTGGGTGGGGCGGTGGCCGTGCCCACGCTAGGCCCCATGGGTGAGCCAGGAACCTCTGCAGGTGTGGGAATTGCTGTGCCGAACAGGATTGGTATGGCGTATGTGTGTGGGCAGACCAGCTGGGACTGGTCCCCCAGAGGATCCCCAGGAAGAGCTGCAGCGGCATGGGTTGCAGTAGGTAGAGGCGGCATAGTGGTCGCGACGGTGTACCTGTGGACGGCCGAGCAGATGTCGCGGCGGAACAGGGGGCTGATGGACCACGTGCTGGGGAAGCTGCACGAGCTCAACATGCCGTGGGTGTTGTGCGGGGACTTCCAGAATGCCCCTGCCGTCCTGGCGGGTTTGGATTCGATCAAGCTCATTGGCGCGACGCTGGTGGCCCCCTCTGCTGCGAGCGGAACTTGTCGGTCTGCGAGTGGATGCTCCACAATTGACTATTTCGTAGTATCGAGGGAGTTGGCAGGCCAAGTGAGGAAGGTGGCCATCCACGAGTCGTGGCCTTCGGCGCCGCACAAGCCGGTGGGGATCACGCTCGACCTGAGGCCGCAGGAGAGGAAGGAGCGGATTCTCATCACGCCGAAGAAGTTGGAAGGAATCAGCATCGGGTGCGCGCCTGAGCCGCCCGTATACGACGAGGTGGGGGTTTTCAGCGACGTAACGGTAGCGACCAGGACCTGGGCTTCCTTCATTGGCAAGCTGGAGCGCGAGGCTTTCGCGCTGCGGGGGCTGGAGTGGCACCCCAGGCATGAGTGCGCAGGGCGTGCGGACCCACCACGCTGGAAAGAGAGAGCGATCCTCAGAGGGGGCGGCAACCACCCAGCCCCGCAAGGAGACGCCCTGTGGTGGAGGTGGCTCGCGCGCTCTTTGCAGACCCTGGCGGGGAACTACGAGAGGCTCAGGTCGTCCTCGGGTAGTGCCCGTGCGCGCCAGGAGTGGTGCATGATAGCTAGTGATCTGGAGGAACGCTTCAGGAGCGTGAGCCACGAGTTCAGGTGCGAGCTGGTCGGCGAGGAGAAGGAGCGGTGGAGAGAAAGGTGTACCTTGCTGGCGAAAGGGCGCTGGCGAAGTGCTGACCAGAAAGCCAGCCTGGACGCGATGATCCTGGAGGCCAAGGAGCGGTCCAGGCGGGAGGACCAGGACCTGATGAATGAAAGAAGGAGGCAGTGGGCTGCGAAGCTGGAGGAGGCTGCGAAAGGAGCAGCGGGCGGACTCCACAGAATCAGCAAACCAGTGGACATCTGGAGGCCGAGGAGAGCGAGTGCACCCCAAGCTTCGGCAGACCCGTTGCGGGCAGCGGAAGCGGCCCTGGGAGAGTGGAACGCAGTCTGGAAGGTGAACGACCCGATGCAGGAGCAGGAGCGGCGGTGGGAGACGGAGCCGCGCCAGGAGTTGCCAGAGTTCACGGAGGGCGACTTGGCCAAGTTAAAGAAAGTGGCGCGCACCTTCAAGAGAAAGACAGCACAAGGAGTGGACCGATGGCACCCCTCCATGCTGCTAGGGGCTTCGGACGCAGCGCACTGGACGCTCCTGCAGATCCTGAGGGAGGTGGGGCGC